AAAACAGATGAAATGAAGAGAACTTACACTAATAAACCCATTGCGCAAGGTCAAGTAATCAGATTTGCTCACAGACCGAAAGAATTGCCGGAAAAAGCATCCCTAACACGAAAAAATAAACATCAAAAAGTGGACAAATAAAATACGAAAGGTGGCTATTACATGGAATAACCATCACTTAATGAACAAGAATGGAAAAGACCAAAAAACAAATCTCACAATATAAAAGAAGACTGGAATTCTGGTCCAAAAACTAGTGTGTGCCCTCACAAATGATGTCTCGTGAGTCAACCTGAATCTTGAAGGATCTGTCGAGGTCCACGGTTAGAGGATGCTGATAATTATGCACATTTTATACGGTAGTAAACAGAAAAATCGAGATTGTAGAATGTCATATACCGTTTGAAAATTCATAATTCTGAGATGAAGTCTCCTGTTCCCACTGCTTCCAGCCGCGGATCTGTAGTGTAGTTAACCAGTCATAAATGCAACCAAAAAAAAAAAAGGGAGAAAACTAACAATATTGTAGAGGTTAACATAGAATATTAGGCATTCAGAACTAATTATGTACCTTGAGTCTTCCGAGAGCCATGGTTATAGCACTGTAGATAACGTGAAATACTGCTAAAAAGAATATAAGGATATGTATTTGGTGCAGCCCGTCGACAGTTATAAGTGCTACACTCCCCTGCGTAAAAATATTACATTAGTGATACAAAGACATCATACAATTTACCACAACATTTTAAGGATCAAAACAGACCATGCATTTTCCACAAGGGCTTTCTACTGGAAAAAAAACGTCAAGAAAATGACATTTTAGGAAAAAAATAGTGAATGCAAAAAGATTAATAGAATTACCTCCTTGCAAGTAGCATATCCACCACCAGCTAAAAACCTTCGCTCGTATGATAATAACCTACGCCTATGTTCTTCCTTAGCATTGTCTTTCCTCCGACAAGGCAACATTGTATTACCAACACTTTCGGGAATGCAGATTTCGGCAATGTAATATTGACTGAACACAAGTGATAGCGAGATAAAACCGAGAATCATCAACTCTGCAAGCAAATTAACCAACCGTGAGCAAATAAATAAATCAAAGGGTATTTTTACTTCTTTCCGCAATAGGAAATGACACAACCAAGTAAATCATTTACCGGCTTTGACCTTCTCCAATGCCTCATAAAGCGCTTTCTTATGCCTATCAGTTAGCCACTACAAAAGATTTTAACAAATATTAAGCAATGCTATATCGATTTAGAATCACAATGTACAATAAATGTAAGGAAATGGATATTCTAGCATAAACCTAGACAAAAAAAAAGAGAGTTTTTAGTAAGGAGAATAGAGGTTTCATTCACATTTACGTGAGACGAACAAAATGGTATGAGTCGTCTTTCTACCACACTTAAATTGAGTGACCAAAATACATATAAAAGCAACAGCTACACATAATTCTTAAACACCCATCACATAATTATCACGACCATAAAAATACTATGTTGAAAAGAAAATGAAAACAATATCGACCGGCACAGGCAAAGTAGCCATAACTGAGACAAGTTAGATGAACACTTTCCTGGGGTCTGCAAATAAAAGAGAGTTATGCTGGTGAAGAAATAAGTCCCCAACAAAATTTCGAAAAGATAGGCACACATCCATATTCAATATACATCGTACTCCATTTCGGTTCTAATATGAAATAAAAATTGCTGGTCAGGAAAAACTATGAAATTAAAGAAAGAAAGATTCAAACAACAAGGAATGATCTTAAGGACTTCAGATTCTTTTGTCCACCAAACCTTTCATGCCTTGAAATTATGAACCCACAAGGTTCTTGAATACCACAAGAGGATCCCAAAATCGAACAAGAATTCAACGCTACACACAAACTGTCCACATCATATCACACAAACTAATCCATATCACAACATAAATCTATCACAAAAACTAGCTAATTAAGCCAAATATAGCACATAGAGGCGCCATTAATCAATGGATGAACCCCAAACAAAACTGCATACAAAAAACAACAAATCAAAGTAAACCCAAATCAGGAATAGAAGCTAAATAATATTCATTCCAAAAGTTTGGTCAACGAGAAGCGAAAAAGGGCAGATATAAAGAAAAAAAGGTTACAAAAAGAATGGATTTTTCTTACCGTTCCGACTTTGTGAAGAACCTTTTCTAAGACAATCGAGATGACTATAATCACAGCACACACTCCGGCGACGGCCCATGTCGGGGTCTGCTCGAGAGTTCTTGTCGTGCCCCCCTTTTCGCCCGCCATTGTCAAGATCCACACAAAAACAGAGGAGCACGACAAAACCCGAAAGACCCTCTTTTTGATTCAGTCAACTGTTACTGTAAAGGAAGAAAAAAAAAAAACAATCGAATTTGGTTCTCGTACACAGATTTCAGATGACGAAGAACTAAGGAAGAAAGAACAGATTTTTGTTCGAATAAATAAATCTCAAGAACTGTGTAGACTATTATAACATCTATAGAATGTAGAAACTCGGAATTACTTGCCTGCAAACTTTTCTTGATTAATATACTTCCCTAAATTTGACTGAGTATTATGTATTTCACTTTTGTCACTCCTCATTCATTTTCTTGAGTTTTGAGGAGGGCGGTTTTGGAGAGTGGAGAACTAATCAGTCCACGGTGTTCCTGTGTAATTTCTAGGTGAGAGTATATATGAAATAGTAAATTAAGGGAGATTCTATTGTCTCTCGGAATCGTTTCGTCGGGATTTGTAACCGTTAAATTAACTATTCACGACGGTTATATGATGATTTAATGGTTGCAAATTTCAATGGAATGGTTATATAACAGGACTGTAGCATTTCCCCATAAATTAATTTCTATTTTTTTTTCTTAAAATGTAAAAAATTAGAAAAAAAATTACACTGATTTTAGTGAAAATTACGGGCTAAAACACGTGATATTTTTATTTTATTTTTTTTACATATTTCTCAAGTTTTTTTTCCACTTAAATTAAAAGTCCTACACTTAACTTTAATATGTTTAATTTTTATTAAATTTTTAATCAATTTTAGTATTAATTAAAATGTTGGTTTTATCCTTTATCTAAACGATATAAATAAATTTAATTAATATGTACTGAAAACAGTAAAATATGTGTTGAAATCGATTGAACTGCGTACCGATGATAATTCTAAAACACGAGTAAATACCTACAAAAAAAATGGAAACAATATTTTTTTATGGTAAAAATAAAGTTGAATAATGATGGTAAAAAAAAAAAGCAATAATTAGGGTCACAAATCAATGAGCAAGGTAACTGAATGGTTGAATTAAATAGAGGTGAGGTGAAGAAGATATGTGCGTCAATTATGGGGTTCTGTCTTATATTATAAGACGTAGTCATGTTAAGTTACATTTTCAATATTGGCAACTCGTCCATTTGTGGGCATAGTCCATCGTTTTCAATTAGTATCATGTTAAGCGGTCATAATCAAATGCTTAGTGAGCTTGCTTATCTTATTAACTTTTTTTTTTTTTTGCCAAAACGATAGGATTTATATCATCAGAATAGAATTTACAATGTCGGG